CTGAGCACTGGCGGGTCAGACTGCAGCCCAGGATGGAAAACCTTGTTTGCACTAACCAGAAAGATCCTTATCTGATTTTGGCAGAATTAAACGGTGACTTACTAATGATAGAACTGGTACAAGTAGCATCAACTACAAAGTGAAACTCACTTTAGCCTACATGTATCTCACTGTACATACATATCAATCCCCAAATTGAATGGTGGAGGTTGCAAAGTGTATTTGCACATTTTAAATCATTTTGCTTTAGTTTTTCCACTTTTATTCATTCTTATCTCTAGCCCCTTCTCATTCCCTCGTCCCTTCTGTAGGCCAATAAAGTTTATTCTTCCCCCACTTTCACAATCCATTTCATATGCTCCATATCATATCATAAATGCATGTGTGTGTATTATTTTTGCCATTCAGTCAACTCCTCTTTGAGTGACAGCATTTTTTAAATCAAAAGAGTATAAGTTTTAAGATGAGAGAGTGGGAAAGAGATTGAGAGTCTGTAAGAATGACTTCGTAAAAGTGATATAATCCTTATCAGAAGGTAATCAAAACCAGGAGAGTAGTCTTGTAATAGGAGACTGCAAGTATTGGGAAGGCCAAGTTAAAGAACAGAGGCAAAAGCTGTGAAAGTGATCATAGTAAACTTTTATCTCCAATACTGTCTCAGAGTTGACTGTTGTACACGAGTGAAATTAGATTAGGTACAGATTAAATTCTATTTAAAATTTGTTCTTTATTGATTCCTTTAGGTTTCTTTAAACCAAGGTCATGCTGTTTAGTCAGAACATGACTTCTAGAGTGGTCTTCCAGTGTCAGAATGATCTCTGTTTACAAAGATAATTTCAAATGTAGTATCCCTCTTTACTTTCAGTGTTTCACCAAATAACTCATTATAGCCAAAGGAGGGTATTGCATCTTCCATTTGTGGCACTAGATAGGGTCCTATATTTTTCACTATTGAGTATGTATACATTTCTCCATATAAAAATTAGTAATAGGCTTCAGGCTTTGAAGTGCTTGAATAGTTTAGAAAGAAATGTTACAGATGTGTGTTTATAGTTTTAATCATTGTCTCAATGCTTTCTTGTGGCAACATGACAGGTATAAGGAGAGGGGCACTGGAGATTGTATTTCTGATATCTTAACAATCATGAGTGTGAAAAGTAACCAAGATTGCTTTGCAGCTTTGTGGGTTCAACACCATGAGTTTGTTTTTATTTCCTGTGGTTGTACGTTTCCTAGGTTAGAAGCTGAGGTTTCAGTTACTTTAAATATGAAATTTGGGAACAGCGATTGAGGCTTTCTAGCACAATAAATGTGACTGGATACCCTTTCTAAACTAAGTGGGGCACAATTTTTTTTCCTTCTGTTTTTTTTTTTTTTTTTTTTACATGACAATTTATTTCTTTCACATGTTGACATGGCTTGTATTACATTGTAAATTTCATCTGTTTCTGTAACTTTAGCTGTGTCTGTAACAGGTAGAGCATCAGTCAAACTAGAGTGGACAGGGAGAAAATGTTCTACTGGGGAAGCACTCTGGAATCTTCTGATTAAGTAATTTGCAAAAGATTGATAGCCGTAAGCCTTACTCTTAATGGATCTGCCATTTCAGTTTCAATGGCTTTTGAGGAAAAAGGAGTCATTTAAGGAAGGAGATAGGAAGTGTAGGCAGATCCATCCACTTGTCTTAGTCTCCCAATTTTAAGAAACCTTTTCTTGCCCAAAATGTTTTGTAACTTTCCAGAAGTAAAGAGGAAGGTAATGGAGCTGTAGAAATGCCAACCCATCAAAGACTAGTTTGTCATGTTGCTACAACAAGGCATTTAGGGAACATCTCTCCTTAATTTTACTAATAGACCAAGGAAGCTCTCTGAGTCTGCTATTAACATTCAGCTCTGGGTGATTCTTGGTTTCTAATGGCTCATAGTGATTACAGTTTATGTTAATAATCACTTCTACTTCTCTCAACCTCCAGCAAGAGTAGATTGAGAGCAGGATAAATTAAAAGTCTGATCTTAATGTCATAAATATGACTAAAATATGGTACTAACTTTTTCTGGTCTAGATAGCTGGAATGAGGCTTGCAAACAGTGTTACCTGGAGAGAGCTTGCTGGTCTAACAACTTTGGGTGATAATTTGGCATCTGATTAGAGGGCATGAGTCTGATAAATTTTATAAGCCACACATAGATCATGCTGTGGTTGGACACATCATTTAATAGTATTTAGCATGATATAATATTCCATTTTCTCTTCAGGAGCACAGACTCTTTCTCATACTGGATTATTCTACCTTTGACAGTCATTTTTCAACATGACAGTAATTTTAGATAAAGCATCGTGTGCTTATAGAACCTTGTGCTTGAGTAAAAATAATCTTCAAATAAAAATAATGAAGTAAATTTTTCCTTAGGCCATACTTAATTGGAAGCATAGAACTTAAATTGAGAAAAAAAATTCATGTGATAGATTTTGTTTTTCTCACATTTCCTTTTTGAATAATAGCAAATAATGCAGAGTAATGGTTGTAAGAGTTCAGGGTAGATGAAGTCTGTAGGTTTTAGAAATAATAGAGTTGAAAAGAACCTCCAAGAGGACTGACTTAATGAGCGAACTAAATGTCCTTAGACAGATATTGTCCCTAAACTCTTTGCCATTGAAAGTTTATAGTATTGAAAATTTGATGACTGTTAGCACCTAGTATAAATCAACATTCATCTGCTGTTCTCTTTTTAGATAGCCAAGTTATAACTTTTTCGAAAAGACATTATTGGACTATGTTAGTAGGTCCGCCTTCTCCTTTGATCATGTGCACTCTTACCTGTCACCCAACCTTCTCCACACCCTCTTCTCTTCATTCAGTTGCGGACGGCAGTAACAGTTTCAGTACCTTTGCTTCTTAGAGGAAATACAGTTTTCCTTATTTATATTTTTAAAAGATGTTTCTATGACATTATATATAGCAAGAGATCTATTAAGGATCCAGAAAATCTTAATCTGTATAGCATATGTGTTCCTAACCATAAGAATTAGTTTCCTTGAGGGTTCTTGAGTATATTCTGTTTACACAGTTTATACATAAGTAAACTCTGTGGCAGATATACATAAAAAACCTGTCACTTTTATGCTCATTCATCCTCCTAATTCAGTGTCTGGGTCATGAGATGTTTGGCTCACAGCTTCAAAAACTTCAAGAAAACTGATTTCAGTTCTCTCTATGTTGATCTTCCAGTTGGATCTGGAGTCTACTGATTGTGGAAAGGAGGAGCAGATCACATTATATTGAAAATTGTCCTTTTCACTGAGAAATAAAGGTTGACTGAGCTACCTAAAGTCACTTTCCTTTGGACTGTAAGCCTTAGAGAGAACAATAATACCTTTGCTTTTCTTGAGGTAGTATTAGAAAACTCCAGTTCCCATTGATAGGATAAACTTGTTTTCCCATTTCAGGATCTTTTTATATAAAACAGTTACAAAATCTTGACATTTGGCATCCCTGAAAAGCTCAAGTGGCCTTTTCAAATAGGGCCTCATGGAGTATTACTGACTTTACAGTCAGTATCCTGCAAAGAAAGGTGACAAACTTCCTGTGAAGTTAGGAAGAAATATTAGTAACCCACACACTTACAGTCCATTTTCCATTTTACCTTGTAGAAGTTTGTACTAGAGATAGAACAAATGAAATTAGTTTTCTTTTCCAGGTATATCCTGTGAGATACCTGAGAAAATACAGAGTATTTTCTCTCAGTTCTCTCAGGGTTAAATCTCAGTGAGCTTTTCTTTTCTCTTTGGTAGTGCGGAACCATTTGTACCATAGAAAAAAATAGCTGGAAATATAGAACTTGAGTATGGCAATACAGTAATAAACAGAAGAAATGAGTCACTAGGATAATATATTGGAGTGATTTCTGTAGGGTAATGATTTCAGTTATAATGTGTTTTAGAATGTGGATTTAAGCCACCTTCTCACCCTCTGTACCAGTAGCTTTGTTAAAACATTTTATTATGATCAAATAACAAGCCTGCTGCTTTTAAGTAATCTAAGTGTTAACAGAAGGTAAGTCTTCAACTTCTCCCTGTTCTCATCTGGGCCAAGATGAATTCTCTAAATAAAAAATAGCATTGTAATTTGCCTCCAACAAAGAATGGGAAATGGAAGGAAACACAAAACACAAAAACTGTGGTCCTGACAGTACTAATTCTACCAGGTTTCAAATAAGAATAATTAAACTTATAAAGGGACATACTGATTATTTTTGTGTTACTCTCCCTTTTTGTTGTTTAAAGTCAAATTCCAGAAGTAAAAATCTTTATCATACTGTTTTCCTCTTACTAAAACTGGAAGAGTAAAATAGTTCAGCAATGTCAGAAAATGTTGTATTTAAAATAATATGAAGAATAGGGGTTTTAAGTAAATAAACCAAATTGACTTCCTTGTAGGTTTACTTTTAGTATATAACATGAATATGTAGTGCTTCTTTTTACAATAATCAAAGTCATAGCTCCAAGATACTGACCTCTCTCAATCTATAACCTTTGGAGGCATGCGTTTATACCAGCATGTTTTATAAATAATGAGTTTCTGTCTGCATCCATGAAGTCTTACTAGTTTTCACTTAAAATTTTGTGGGTTGTTGAGAAGAATTAAAGTGATTCATAACTTCACGCTTGAACCTGGGAGGCGGAGGTTGCAGTGAGCCAAGCTCATGCCATTGCACTCCAGCCTGGGCAACAAGAGTGAAACTCCGTCTCAAATAAATAAATAAAGTGGTTCATAACATCACATGAAGAAGGAGGTGAGTGATATATTAAATGATCAGAAACTTGGCATTACATTGTTTCCAGGACCATTTCCCCCGCAAATTAAGCTGTATATTTTTCATTTCTTCATGGCACTGTGCTGTTAATTTGTGTTAACATTTGTGCTAAAATGCAGTGTAATTTTTATATATAAGTGTTAGAATTTTAGCTATCTTAGTTGAAACACACAAAAAAATTGTTACTGATCCAATAAAATTATCAAAGGCCAGAAGAAATTATTTGGTTTTATTCTTAAAGTATTTATTAAAAAAAAAAAAAAAGGAGATAGGGAAAGCTTGTATCTTTTTTGTTTTCCGTATAGGACAATCAGTCTATTGATTATTTACTAAATTCCAAGTTAAAGCAAGGCTCATAGAATGAGTCTTTATTTAACTAAAGGAAGGAAGAAGAAACCCGAATTTTTCTCCTCTCGAAGAAGTAAGACTAAAGAAACAGTATTACACTTTCCCCAGAAATGTGACACAGGCTACTTTACCTTAAAAACCGTTGCTTGCTTTCTTTGCTGTAGGAGAAGAGTAGAAAGCATGACAGAGGTTTGAGGAGCCAACTGTGGTGGGTAGTGCTGTCTCTAAACATTCCTAGAAAAGCCTGTTTCTCGTGTTCTTTGAAGAAAAAAAGAGACCATGAGCAGGAAGAATTTCTTGCATTACAGAATTATGGCATCACAGAATAGGTGCAGTGGTTGTATCTCCTGGTCTGCCCAGGAGTCCTAATTTACATGTGCCTTGGTTAGCCTAAGTATACAAAACTGTGGCTGTATTGAATAATTACCCTTTTGGAGAAGTAGAAACTCTTTCCAGAATTTTAGTGGGATTTCATACCCCCAAAAGTGTTTTAGATTATGATTTGACCTTTTCAAGTCACTTAAAACAGCTACTTTCTGAAACATATGCGCTGGAAAGCCCTAAGGCTACCTAAGAGATGTTGCAATTTAAAGACAAAGATACGCCATAAAGACAGCAGTTTTCTACCACTTCTGTTCCATGATCAGAATCTGTCTAGATAGAGAATTTTATTTCTTAGCAGAAACTATGGAGGACTATATGGAATCATAATAGTTTTCTTATGATCCTGAAGGGAATGTGTGCAGGCGAAATTGTAGTTTGATAGGAGGCCTCTTTTCCTTGATTCTCTCATACAGCACCATAATACTAAAGTCAGCAGTAGTTGGTTCATGACATGAAAATGTGAGCGTTCTTGTAATGAACGCATGGCAGAGTACCTGGGAGTGAAAGTGAGATGGGGCTGAGAGTATTGGACACAAGGGCCCAGTACCAAAGGAAAGAACACTTGGCACTGCCAACTTATTCATGCTTAAAGTTTTAGTTCTTCAGATCACCTTTTAAAATTAATAAAATATGATCTTAGAACATTGCCATGTTCTAAGTAACTATGGAAAAACACTCTTTTTCTGTTGATCCCATATTAATGGCTTAAAGGAAGATAATAATGACTACAAAGTAGAATTTAGGGGAAATGGTCTTGACTCCACCCAGTTTGGACTCATTACTAAAGAATTAACATGTCATGAACCAGGTGTGGTGGCATGCACCTGTAGTCACAGTTACTCGGAGGCTGAGGTGGGAGGATCCCTTGAGCCCAGCAGTTCAATACCAGCCTGGGCAACATAATGAGACCTCATCCGTAAAGCAAAATAAAGCAAAACCAATAAAAGGTCATGAAGTTTCCCCTAAGGCTTATTTATGCATGTTGGAGTTTTAAGACAGTTATCGTTTAATGATGATTAATCCTTTTTGTAAGGCGCCTGTTCCAAAGAGTTCAACCTACTTTACTGACAACTCCTTAGGTTTTCAATGTCCTGTGAGGCAGAGAGCAAAGAGTGTCATTTCAAGCCTCCTGCTGGGGAAACAAGTATTCAAAAATGAAGAAGTGCAGGTGGAATCCATCAAGATCTTTCAGATAATAACATCAAGTATAAAACTTCCTTCTGCTGATGATATTTAGGTTCTATGGCCTTCAACTTTCTGAGTCTTCAACTTATAAGCCCATGGACCACTTCAGTTTACTTACAATAACAATAATAATAATATTGTTTAAGGATGATATTTATTGAGTACACACTGTGTACCAAGCACTGTTCTAAGCACTTCAAAATCAGCAAACCCTTTAAAGTTCACGACAGTATGGAGCGGATAATGCTCTTAACCCTAATTATTAAATGAAGAAACTTAGTTATGGAAAGGTTATGACTTGCCTAAAGTGACATAACTAACGAAAAAAAGCACAATTCAAATCTAGACAGTCTATCTCCATAGTTCATGTTATTATTATACCATACTCAATTTAAAAAGTTCTACAGTAGTATGAATTTTTGCCTCAGTGATAAGAATACCTTATATTTGCATAATGCTTACATTTTCTCCCAAGGATTTTATGGTCTTATGTTTTAGAGGTTTATTTTTGTGTACTTTATGGAATTAGATAGCTGATAGAAAATAATTTTCTAAATCTAAATAAGGGACATCTTGGTATCACCTCCATTTTGTGTTGTTCAAAGCCTAGAAACTTCCAAGAACCATAAGTTGAGAACTTTTATTGAAGCCTCAAATAAAAGTTTTTGATAAAATTGCCAGTCTAACATGTAAAGCTTAATCTCGAAGAAGCAAGTTAAATGAAGCGATTCTTAGCTTCCAGAGAATCTAAAGGTGGCAGACTATTTTATATTTTATCAAAAAATAAACAGAAGAGTCATCAATATAAAAGCATAGGTACCTTTAAATTAGAAATTCAAAGTATTCCAAGTTAGTTCTGAAGACAGTGTTTTGTTGTGCTGTAAAAGTTTAGAAAAGGGTATCACTCACAAAAGAGAAGTTCTATCATTAATTTTAAAAATGGAAAATGATAAAAGATGTCTAATGTAAACTTATACATGGGACCTTGTATGAGATAACTTACTCTTTTATTCCCATATTTTCTATAAATTTTTTAGCTTTACCCCTCAAACATGGGAGAAAAATTTCAGCATTTTAATTCAAATTGTTAAAAGGCTGAGCAACCCTTAAAGTTGCCATAATGGAAGAAGACTGCGAGCTAGCTTAAAGAAGAGAAAGAAGGGAAGAAACAAAACCCCTGTGTAGTAGAGTGTTGAGATGAGACGAGCATTTGTTTGTCTCCATCTAATTCCTTATGAAGCCAGAACCATAGCATCCTGCTGTTAAGTGAAATGAGATGGAGCATTATCCTAGAATGCAGACGTGGCACCAGAAAGGCTGCCAAGATAAGGGGAGGGCAGAAAGTGTCAGATAAAAACCATCAAGACCAGTGACAGTCACCCTTTTCAATTCTCGCTTCTGGAACCTGGCAGGAATGGTCCTGGGATGTGGGCCCAGCTTGACTACACAACCCAGCAACAATGGTAGGGGATGAGGATCCTGACCTCACAGAGCTGAGCTTTCTTCAACTACAGGATCCTTCTCCAGCCCTGTGTTCAAAAGAAAAACAATGTGAACAGTCTGTTTTCTGTCACTGAGTGAGACAATTCATTTCCTTTACTGGAAAAACATAAAAGATTGTGATTGCTACTGTTGTACAGGGAAAGATTTTCTAAAGTAAGCATAACATGATATGGGTGTCCTAGGTAAATCCTGGGTTCAGTAAGTTTTTAAAGCAGCAAAAGATTAGGGAATGTGTCCATACCCCTCTACTCAGCTAGCATCCTGAGTGAGATGGTTTCTGGGGTTGGTTTGAATGAGTAAGTATTGGAAATTCCTCTTGTACACTGTCTGCCACAGACCTCTAAAGATGCTGAGTGGTAGAGGTGGTAGGGGCTTCACTGAACAAGACCCTTCTTTGATCCAAAGTTAACACAAAGTTCATGGTGTAGATGAGGAAACCTAAGCTGTTATCACAGCATACTTACTAACTTACTACCTCTTAGCACTTCCATGAGATCAGCCTGGGCCATTGCAAACATGTAGATGTGAACTGCCCCACTTACCTTACCTGCATTGGGTAGTGAATGCTCATGATTCAAGCAGAGCCTTTCATGCTGGATGTCTGAACTCAACAGAAGGTTCTTTGGTCTTGGAGGAAGAAGCAAAGATAAAGATCTGATTTGTCACCAGAAGAAAAAGTGAGTGGCTTCTAAGAGTCCAGAGTCTTGACTTATTGACACAGCTCTTGTGAGGGCTAGTTGTGTAACCTTGGACTCACCAACTAATCTCTTTGAGATCCAGGTTAATCAGTGGTCAGAAGTGGAGTTGTGACTGGTTGGTTGCTGAGGCTATGATGAGAACAAGATTTCAAGATTCTTTAAGTTGGGGAGGTTCTATAAGACACAATGAGTGTCACAGTAGATTTTCTTTGATAAATTAACCATAACAAATTTCTACACTTCCCGAAAAATCAGTAATGTAAAACATAGCTCTTGGTCTTAAAATATATGAACAGTCTTAATTTTAATCAATATAAGGAGGAAGAAACACCCTAGATTTGTGCTGTCCAGGAGGGTAGCCACTAGCCACATGTAGTCATTTAAATATAAGTTAATTTAAATAAAATTTAAAATTCAGTTATTTGAAATGTGGGCTCTACTACCCACATTTCAAATGCTCAATAGCCATATATGACTGTGTCCACTGTACTGGGCAACACTGGCACGGAACATTGCTGTCATTGCAGAAAGTCCTCTTGGTCAGTGCTGCCTTAGACCTTTGCCCATACAACAAACTGCAGCTACTTGTACCTTAGAGCAAGGTGTAGATGTTTGGGCGCTAGAGTTGCTGTGTCCATCTTTGGAGAATGAAAGGATGGGTTAAATTGCATGTAGATAAAGCAGTGCAAGAAACCCTTTAGGCAAAGGGTGTCTGCATAGAATAAGAGTTTGAGAGAGGTGAGGAGGAACGGAGGTTAGAAGAAGAAATTATGGAACAACTGAATCATTGGGTGTCTTGAATCTTGACTAGACCTGAACCTTACGAGGACACAGGACCCCCAGAGGGAAGTTCCTCAGAGAGATTGTCACCCTACGCACAAATGATCCCAACAGTAGATACCTCTGAGAGAATCAGGGCAGCTCTAATCTCCAGGCACTCAGTGATGGGAAAGGGTTAGTCATGTTGGATTCATGTTGTGGAAGAGAAAGTTTTTATGTTGCCAGGCAATGGGGAATAATTCAGGCTTTTTTGACATTTGAGTGGGTTAACCAATGTATCTGACAGTCGGCTCCTTAGAAATGGGTCTGTGCAGGCAAAGTCAGCTTATGTTGTGAGGCTCAGACTTGAGTATGAGTAAGAAAGTGTCTGTGATACAAAAAGTTCTATTTTTCTTGCCAGCCCTGCTGGCTAGGGAGAATTTCTTCCCCAAGTATATGGAGAAAGGAAGAAATCAGAGGCAGCTGGCAAAAAGAGTATACTTTAACCTGCTGTCTGGAAGCCATCTGTGAAGGGAATCACTTTTCTTTTCTGGACTTATTTCCAGGTGCAGCTGCAGGGGATGACACGGAAGATGCAAGCACTGAGTTCACTGACAGTATTGAGGAGGAGGCCACACACCATAGTCACCAGCAAGTAAGTCAGTGTCAGGGTCTGGAGCTTCCAGGGTGGATGGCACACAGCCCTTCTGAGGTCTGATGGTCTCCTGCAGCCCTTGTGGACTTAGAGTGAGAAGATTTTTTTTTTATATAAACCACTTCTCAGTCATCTTCCTGTTCTCCTTGAGCTTCCCGGCTGCCTTTCCAACCCATGTCTTCACTCCATTTTCCTCTCCAATCCACCCTTTGGTTTGTATTGTATCTCTTTCTTCTGCTTCCTGCCCCTTCCTACCCACCTTTGCCTCTATTTATTCTCTGTAGCTATAGCTTCAGAAGAATTTTTACTTGAAAAACAATGGACACATTCCCCTTGGGCTTTTTGTAACTGAAAAGCAACACAGAAGACAGGGAGTCATCAAAGGGCTGCTCGGGGAGGTGGCAGGGTGAAGGACCTGCTTGGGAAGGAACTCCAAGAAGACTGGAATGCTTCCAAAGCAAGGATCTTTCTCAGTGAAATCTCATTATACAGAGAGAACCTTATGCAACCTGACAAACCACTGAGGTCATGGTGACTCAATGATCAGCAGATGGTTCTTCAACAGCAATCCCCTGTCAAGCCTCAGAACTTGAGGCCAAAACATTGTTTCCATCCACCATCAGTGCAGATGTAACTAGCATGTTACAAGAGTGAATAATCTGGACTTCAGAGATTAAGTCACCAATAGTGATCCCACAAGCACTCACTGGAACTCCTATAATGTCTCCACTTTGTCCGTGCCATTTAGCAATCTCATCTCCTAGATGGACTATGCCTATGATTCTTAAGGAGAAAGTGAATCATTGGTAGGTGTCCCACACAAGCAGCTGGACTTTCCAGTGACAGCTTTCTTGGGGCTTTTAGGAAAACTATACAAGAAATGAGGCTTTCTGGGTCTGCCTGTATGTCTTCTGCATAAGAGAAAGAGGAGACATCGAATCAACCAATAAGAAGAGCCCAAATGAGCATCCTCAAATCTTTTGGGATTTGGCACTTGGGGACATGAGTAGTTGTCTGGGATATGTCATGTTCTCAACAGTTTCTTTATAGTAGTTGGATCACCTTCTTGTAGTAGGATCAACCTTCTTGTTGCTATAGCTGTACCCAACTTTCCCTGCTCCCTTGAGTGCTTGCATGAGCTCCACTTTTTCTTTTACTTGAACAGCTTCTCCTGAGTCCTCCTTACTGATGGTTGTGTCTTTAATTATATACATCTCTGTCCCTCCAGACAGATCCCTCTGTCCTCACTCTCTGATTTCATTGAGGATCTTGGGTGAGAGAGAGGGACCTGCGGAATGAACAAATGTCTACTCTAAGACAGCTAGATTGGGAGGTTGGCTGGTCACTGATGGTTATAATGACTGTGGGACAGGATTAACTTCAGAATAAATGAACAGGAGACACAGATATGAAGACAGTCAGATTCTGATTGATATGGTCTGAAGTGCTCCTGGTATTGCAAGTCATTTGCTCTGATTCTCAACTGTAGGCAAATTGAGTTGTAAAGTTGCTTCTTCTTCAGCCTTCTTTCCTGTAGCCTAGAATGGAGAATCTGACCAGACCCCATTTTGAGAAGGTCAGCCCACCCTGAAATGAACATTTTACATTAGGGCATTTGTATTTCCCTCACAATATTTGCCACATTACTTGGCATAGGAGACATGCTTAGTGTAATTATGAGTTAACAAGCCTTTGGATCAGGGCTTGACTCATGATAGACAAAGTATGTACCTGCTGGATGGAAGAATCTCTTGGGTAAGCACCATTTTTCTTTCTATCGCCTTTCCTTGAAAATACATCTTCAGCTTTGGGTAGGAGGAATCTTGGGTTGTGAAATCATTGCAAATTTACTTCATCTTTCTGGAGTTTGAGGTTGTGACTCTCCTGCTACCAATTAAATAAAGCTTACTTTGCCATAACTGTTTTGTGTCCAGATTCTCAAAATTTGTTTGTTTGTTTCCAGGAAAGTGGTCCCTTAACATAGATTTTGAGCTTCTCCTTGTTAAGTCCTTGGAAGGTAAACTTTTGCTTGACACCAAGCTCCCTTCCTACTCCAAGCATTCATACACTTTCCCTAACAGACACATCCAACCTTGTCTTTCTTCCAAGGTGAGAATCACCTTTTGGCCAATGCAAGTTGCTTCCTCCTTATGTTTTGGACTCAGCCATCTCAGGAAGCCTCAAGTCTGGCCATGATAGTAATTTTCCCTAGTTTATCTCCCACGAAATTCTATTCTCAAGCAGATGTAAGATCTATCATAAATACCTATGAAATTGCTGTGAAAGAAACTAGAGTAATCAACCATTGTATTTTTTATGTGAAGTTTTATAATGGAGAAAAAGTTAATCAAGAATAAAGATTCAAGCCCAGGTAGTGTGCATCTATAGTTGCAGCTACTCAGGAGGCTGAAGCAAGAGAATCTCTTGAGCCCAGGAGTTCAGGGCCAGCCTGGGCAACATAATGAGACCCCCACCTCTTAAAGAAAAAAAAAATCAAGATTCAAATACAAAGAACAGACGTTAGTAGACAAAGTGTGATAAACTCGAAAAAAGCTATTTTTAAAAAAGTTATTTTTGATTGACAAATCGTACTTGTATACATTTATGGGGTATGATATGATTTTATGTATATATACACACACACATATATATACACGCAAACAATATGGAATGATTAAACCAAGCTAATTACGTATTTCTCAACTTGCCTACTTATCATTTTTGATGGTGAGACATTGGAAATTTACTCTTATTTTGAAATATACATTTTATTGGCTATAGTCACCCTGCTATGCAATATATCTTAAGACCTACTCTTTTTGTCGATACTTTTGATCAACAGTTCCCTCTACTCTCCCTCCCCACTCCACCAGCCTCTAATAACCACCATTCTACTCTCTGCTTCTATGAGTTCAACTTTATTAGATCCCACATATAGGTGAGCTTATGTGGTATGTGTCTCTGTGTACCTGGCTTATTTCACTAAGCATAATGACCTTCAGATTCATTCATGTTGTCACAAATGACAGGACCTATCCCCTGACATTTTAAGTTTAAATAGTATTCCGTTGTGTATTATCTGCCACATTTTCTTTACCCATTTATCTACTGATGGACCTAGGTTGGTTCTACATCTTGACTATTTTGAACAATGCTGTAATGAACATGAGAGTGCAGATACACCTTTAACATATTCATTTCAGTTCCTTTGGATATATACCCAGAAATGGGATTACTGGATCATAGGGTAGATTCTATTTTTAGGTTTTTGAGGAAACTCCATACTGTTTTCCACACCAGCTGTGCTAATTTACATACCTATTCACAATGTGTGTGTTCCCTTTTCTCTGCATTATCTCTAACACATCATTCACCTTTCTGATAATGCCACTCTAACAGGTGTGAGATGATATTCATTATGGTTTTAATTTGCATTTCCCTAATGATTAGTGATGCTGAGCATTTGAGAAAAGCTCATTTTTAATGCCTTAATGTTGAGCACTGACTTAACATTGTGACAGATATGAAGCAATAGGGTAAAAACAAAACAGTGTCACTCAAACAGGATATCAGATTTGCACATAGGCCTTTGTGGGGCAAATGGGAACCCAGCGCACAAAAAGTTGAATTATATGGAAGCAATATCACAAGTGAGTTAGGAAATGTGAAAAAATACCCAAGAGAGATATAATTAAAAATAGACCTAATGGATTCACACTACCATTACAGATCCTGGAAGCCCTGGGGTTTCATTTGGGGGAAAGAAATATTTGCTTTCATACATGATCAAAACTAATGAAAAGGCTAGATCGTGAGTTACTTTTCAGGCATTTACATTTAAAACTTAGCCAAAGAAAGTCCACTTTGAGATGGAAATATGAAAATGCAAATTAACCTGGGGAAAAATCAGATCCCTAGGCAATGTTTGATTTTCTCACTTTAAAGTGGGAAATTAGATCAGATGTACCTTAAGGTTTTTCTGGTGTTAACATTCATGGTTCATAATTTTTTCCTTTTTAAAGAAAATAGGTATATTGAAACCAATAGAACAAGGTAACATATATCCAGAAGGCACTTTAATAATCGGTAAACTTCATTAAAGTTAGACATTATTTTTAAGCAGAAGGAACCCTTAAGGCCTAGAAAAGAAAAATGCTGTGCCTGCACTAAGACTAATGGCAAAGTGCATTTTAGTTAAGTTACTTGGAAAGAGTTTATATGGAATGGCAACATCACATAGTTTAAATGAGGGATGGGATCATAAGCTTTCAGAAGTGGTTTTATTTGGTCCCCCTTCCCTTATTTTGTCACAAATGCTGGAGGGCACATATGGAGATGGCCACCAGCATGATTAAGCCTGCCAGCAGAGTCTTAGAGACAGACATTCCCGGGAGCCTGCCAAATCTCAGGCTCAGAAAGCCCAAGTAAGATTGGGTGCCTGGGAATTGAGTGGCTTTGTCTAAGGATGTTTCTTCTTTGACCTGGGTGCACAGGTCTTCACAACCTCAACTGCTATGCTACTGAACATCATTGCACATGCATACTGTGAATCAACCCTGCCACAAACCTGTGACCTAGATTTGAACATACTTTGTTATGGGGAATAGCAAAAGTCAGTGGCTTTGTGCCAACCCCGGCAGCTCTGTCAATCATTGATCCATGTAAGCTGTTCTCAGCCCTGCTCTGTTCAATGTATTGGTGACCTGAATGGAGATATAAAGCATATAATTAATTCTACAAATCATCCCCAATCAGGGGGCCACTACATGATTTGTGGAAATGCACATCAAATATTTGGATGACTTGGATAATTGGGGAATGATTCAGTATATCCAGAATGAATTTATAAGTGACAATTACAAGTCACAATATGTATAGAGATAAAACAAAACAATACGACCCAGCAATAGCTGTGGGGAGGGGTGGAAAAACTGAGGTCAAAATTGACCTGAAGTTAAGTAAAAGCTCCAGATGCTGCCACTGAGAAGAAAAAGAAGCCAATGTGACATTGGGACATATTTAGATTAATATTGGACAAACAGGCAGGAGCTCCTTATACTAAAGGAATTAGTCATATGCTAAGTAGATTATCATACTCAGATTTTGATTTCTACACTTTTAAGAGCATGGAATAAAGCCCAAAATGAACAAGACAAAGTCTAAAAGTTAACAAATTTGCATTTGAGGAAAAGCCATAAGATCTGCTTTAATTAAAACATTGATGAATAACTTCAAGAGTGTCCTCAAGAAATAGAAAGGTGCTGGGCAATTGTTCCTGCCTCTGTTTCTTCCACATGCTGAGATTTGTAGAGAGAGTTTGTCTGGCAGCATCAGCACAGGGATAATAACCAAAAAGTGAGGTCGGCTGCTTGGCAGGGTGGCTCCACCTGTACCTCCCAGTAGCTGCAGAGTGTGATTCTTCTGCTGCCAATGAAATGGTTGGTGTTGTCTTCCCTGTAGCTCCACCTTATTCTAATTCTGTGACTATGTCTGCTGACTGTTTCCCCAGTGCCCCGAGTCCTCCCTCTCAGCTGTCCTTGAGGGAGTCAGAGTTACAGGCAGGGCCTTAGGCTTTGCGCCCTGATACCTTAAGCCGTCATCTCCCGCCGTCCAGCACTCAAGTGTTGCAGAGCTGATGAAGCTTCCTGACTTGTGAGAAAACTCGCAGCACTCTGTCTCCTCGGGAAGAGAAGAATCACCACGTTCACACCCTCCAGTCCTGTTTCAACCTTGTTTGTTTGCATTTGTTTTAATTTCTTATGTGCCTTTCTCCCTCACCATCTCTGGATTCTCCTGTTCTCCACTCCTCCTGCTCCACTCCTCCATTCCTCCTGCTCATTTGGTGTGTCCTTCCCACCCAAACCAGCCCTTCTGCCTGACTAAGGAGGTTCTGGGTAGGGAGTTCATTTTAGATCTGCTTTTTTTGTTTGTTTTTTGTTCGCACTGAGAACTGCCTTTGCAATCTCATGTTTCTCTTGGGTCCTCTTTAATGGCCTAACTTCTTCAAACCATGATTTTCTTTTAGCTTGTCAAGGTGGCTTTGGAGAAAAGTCTGGCAACTGTGGAGACCCCGAACCCATCTTTTTCCCCTCCTTCCCCAATGGGAGGAGACAGTAACAAGTGTCTTCAGGAAGAAATACTCCACCTGAGGGCTGAGATCCACCAGCACTTAGAAGAGAAGAGGAAAGCTGAGGAGGAACTGAAGGAGCTAAAGGCTCAAATTGAGGAAGCAGGATTCTCCTCAGTGTCCCACATCAGGTAGGACATTCTTCCCAGAGAAGGGGACCTTGCGGGTCGTGAAGCACCACAGCCAAGGGCCTCGCCTTGCTGCAGCCAAGGCATCCGTGTGACAAGGGGCTGCTTGGTCCGTATCCCAGGCAGAAATGCATTAATATTTCTACAAATTATTTAGATAAAAGTAAATAATATTGGCTAATGGTAATCACTTTCTATTATTCAAATAATCCTGGTCTTAATTCAGTATAACAATGCCCACTATTATTGTGTATCTGCCAGTTATACATATGACAGTCATGGTGGAAAACTCCTTGTTACATGACCAGTATTGCTCTTTTTAATTGACTGAAACATATAAGGAATCCCTGCTATCTACTATGTTTCACTGCTGTATAGAGAACCAGAACAGTCCAGGAAGGAGGAGGATTTTTTTTTGTTTTTTTTCTGAGGCAGAGTCTCGCTGTGTCGCCCAGGCTGGAGTGCAGTGGCAAAATCTTGGCTCACTGCA